TTTGAGTAGCCTACTAATCTATTTTTCTTGGTCAGGATGTTTTTTTTTTTGTTTGTTTGTTTGTTTCTGGGGAGAGTTTTCAGTTATTGTGCAGTTCATTTATCCTTAGCTCTAAACCAAAGTGGTCAAACTTTTAGGAAGTCTATAAGCATACTTTCACTGCAGGGTTTCATTCCATTCTTGGTTGGACATCTATGATGCTCTCTCTTTTTCCGGAGTCACAGATCATGTGCCACGGTTTGGAGAGTGGAATGCATTAGCCTATTCTTCTGTCCTTTCTAGGCTTGGAAGAAATGACTAAGGGTACACAGATTTGATAAAAATTTAACTTGTCTCAGTGTACCACCTCCACAGTGTTAGCCAGCAATTATTCTCAGGACTCAGATCACCTATTTCAAGTGAAAATGTCCTTTGTTCATCTCAGCTTTGTAGACTCAATTTATTGGTATTGAATTTCTATTTTGATTTAATCTTTTGAAGCTGCCTTGATAGTGTGGCTTCCTTTCAACTGCTATATTCCATTCCTCAAAAAATGGATCCAGAAGTAGATCTGTGGCCAGGCTAAGAAAGAAGTAGCCTAAACAGTTCAATGCACTCCATCATACCAGTTGATTGATGGAGGAGTCAATATATATCCCTGGAGATGAGGGCTGAGCTATACTGGGGCCTGTCTGTCCTTTTGCTGCTCTGTGTGCTTGGTGCTTGAGACTTTCTGGGAGTGTGGGAGTCTACTGTTTATGATTTTCTGTTTGGCTGTTCTGTCCATTGCTAAAATTAGATGTTAAATCACCCATTATTATACTAGAGTTTATCTGTCCCATCATGTCTATTACTTGCTGTATAGATTTTGCGTTCTTATATTGGATACATACATATTTAGAATTGTTATCTCTTCTATCTAAGTTGGCCCTTTATCATTATATAATGACCCTCCCTCTCTTTTTTACTGCTTTTGATTTACAGTCTGTTTTATCAAGGTATATATAGCTACTAGTTTTTTTTTTTTTTTTTTCATTTTCATTCCATCATCATGGATTACCTTATTCCATCCTTTCATTTTCAGATTCTATCCTTAGAAATTAAATGGGTTTGGGCTGGGGTTGTAGCTCAGTGGTACAGCACTCACCTAGCACGTATGAGGCACTGGGTTCAATCCTCAGCACCACATAAAAATAAATGAATAAAATAAATATTTTTAAAAAAGAAATGAAATGGGTTTCTTGTTGACAAGAAACATGCAGTTGACACTATTTTTAAAATCAACTTAGTCGTTTTAAGTAGATAATTTAACCAATTTATTTTGAATGTAATATATCAATATTTAAGAACTTACTGTAAGCATTTTGAAACCTGTTTTATTATTCTATTGTATTCTTTTTCTTTGTCCTTCCTTGGCAATCTTCTTGTGGTTAAGTGATTTATTCTAATAGAGTGTTTTTTTTCCTTGTTCACTATTTTGTTATTTGACTATCACAGATTTTTGCTTCGTGGTTATCATGAATCTTTAAGATGATCTTTTTATTTATGTTTAAATGATAGGAAACACCAGAGACTTTACCAAAAAGCTTATGAATTAATAGATAAATATAGAAAAATTTTAGAATACAAATCTGCTTACAAAATTCAGTAGTGCTGCTATGTACTAACAATTAATATCTGGTTTTAAATTTGAAAAAGCAGTCTGTTGTGATAGCTATAAAACTACCTAGAAATAAATTTAACTAAAAAGTGAAATATTTACAATGAAGAATTAAACCACAAAAGACATAAATATATGGAAAACATTTCATGATCATGGTTTGAAGAATCAATGGTGTTAAATACATTTATAGTACCCTAAATTATTTACAGGTTCAGGAAAATACCCATTAAAATAAAAATATCATTATTCACAGAGTTTTTTTAAAAAAAATTTTATAGAAACACACACACACACGTTTAAATGTGTGTGTGTGCGTGTGTGTGAACCAAAACAATTTTAAGAAAAAAGAAGAAAATTACGGACAGTATATTACCTACTTCAAAGTATATTACATTACTGCAGTAATCAGAACAACATGGCATTGTGTAAAACCAGACATAGATAAATGTCACAGAAAAGGAGCCTAGAAATCCACCCACACATGACAGCCAACTGCTTTCTATAAAGGTACTAAATAGAATACTCATTAGAGAATACAGTGTTTTGAATTTAGCATATTGGGAAACGTTGATATACATATGCCAAATAATGAAACTAAATCTCTCTCAATTATTTTTTATAAAAGTCAAATCTAAATTAACAAAAGACCAATATGTAAGATCCCAAACTATGAAATTACTAGAAAAAATGCTTCAGGACATTGAAATGGGAACATTGAGGTTTTTGGTACAAGATTCTAAACCATAGCAAAAGCAGACAAATGGGATTACATCAAACTAAAAAGTTTCTGCACAGCATGGAAAACTTTCTGCCCATCACTAATCATCAGGGAAATTCATATCAAAACCAGACTAAGATATCACCTCATTTCAATAAGAATGGTTGTTTTAAAACTTACAAAAGTGGTATTGAGAATATGGAGAAATAGTAATCTTTACACAATTTTTGGTGGGAATGTAAATTAGCATATCCATTGTGGAAAATAGTAAGGATAGTCTACAAATTTTTTTAATAACTACCATATGATCCAGCAGTCCTACTACCTAATGAAAATCAAATCAGTAAATAAACATTTATATTCTCATGTTCATTGTAGCATTATTCACAACAGAGAGGAAATTGGAAAAACCAAGCTGTATATTAACTGATAAGAAGATAAAGAAAATATGGTAAATATACACAGTGAATAGTCTTAGGCCTAAATATGGATGAAATCTCATTTTCTAAAACAGGGATAAACTGATGGTCAGTTTGTTAAGTGAAATGGTCTAGGAACAGAAAAGTAAAACATAATATCACTCATATGAGGAATCTAAAACAGTTTCTATTGTAAAAGTTGAGAGTAGAATGGTGGTTACAAGAAATTAGAGAGGGTGGGTAGAGGAAGTAACTTGAAAAGCTTGATCATTTGGTAACTGAGTTACAATTAAGTAGGATTAAGAAATTCCAGTGTGTCATTACACACTAGGATGATTATTGGTAACAATTAAGGTAGTGTATATTTCAGAATGCTGGAAGAAAAAGTTTGACTGTTTCCACCATAAAGGAATAATATTATATATATGAATGACATGATTTAAACATCATAGAATATTTACATTTATTAAAGCATCATATAGTACTCATTCATACATGATATTTTTATGTTTTTACTCATAAATTTTAATATAAATTAATCTAAATTTTAAAAAGGAATGTGATGGATTCTGAAAGTGGATTTGTACTATAGGTTATAATTCTTATATTACACATCTGAAATATAATAAGCAAATTTAACAAAACAGAATATAGATGGGCAGTAAACAAAATGCTCAAAGTTAGGACAATGAAAATCGATAATTTATGATGGATTGTTAAGTTCTAAGAGCTAGTATTGCTAACAGTAATAAGTATTTACATACAATTTAAACTACAATCTAAATTGGAAATATGTTTTTATTTTGAAATAAATAATTATTCCTCTCAGATAACTATACAGTCAGTAAATTAAGAATCAAAGAGGTTACTCTATTTGTGTATCTTCAAAATTAGGATCTTGCAATAAAATGATGTAAAATTATAGTGGAAGAGAGAGAGAGAGAGAAAGAAAAGAGAGAGAGAGACCCTCTATCTTTCTTAAATCTTTTGTGGGCTCTTTCATTAATCTAGGAACTCAATTTATAGAATAGCTGATTAACATGATAGAAACATAAAAGTTTTGTTAATTTACATGTACATAGGGTTCTTCATAAAAAAAACAAATTTTAAATAATGAAGTTTTAAAGCATGATGTTTTATATATAATAGTCAAAATACAATAAATTTGTGAAGGAATGACAGAATGAATGGCTATCTGATCTAGCCTGGAAAGTTCCAGATTAGAAACTAATAGAATATAGGGTCCTTCACAGTTTTATTATTTAAGTTAATTGCAGCCACAGTCACTACACTGTGGTAATTTAGAATATTTTCCAACTTTGGTATGCAGAGGATATCTCCCCTGAAAAAATCTTGGTGACTTGCTTCTTGTAGAGATAGACAAGTAAGATGATCCTTCCTGCAGTAAGTTCCTCATGTGACATCAGTATAGCACTTGGGAATATTTTGAGAGCATTTCTAAAATACTCCCATATAGTGTCTGTTTTCCCTTAACTTCTGTCATAGAAAATATGGGAAATTATAGGGACTGGTTAATTTTAATTAATTATAATGAATTTATTTAGAATATTCATTTCAATAAAAATTAAATATATGATACTTTAAAAAATAATATTTGTTCACTTGTTTTTTTTTTACTTTTTAAATTTATATATAACAGTGGAATGTATTACAATTCTTATTACATATATAGAGCACGATTTTTCATATCTCTGGTTGTATACATAGTATATTCACACCAATTCGTGTCTTCATTCATAAGTTCACTTGTATTGTAGTCAAAGGATTTCATACCTAATTCACAATGTTTTATAGAAAGATTGTTATGAAGAAGATATGATTAAATAATGATGCAGTAACCATTGGTTTTATTAAATTTATCCTAAACTTGCTCTTTATAGTATGCATTGCTCCAGAAACACTTTCTATGTAGGTAGTTATTAATTTCATTAATAAATATTCTTATTAAATTGGTAAGAGGGAATTCAACTCTATTGTTTAATGTTTTAATAATTGGCCAAGATATTGGTCACATTCATAATATGAAAATTGTGTGGTGAAATATTCAAATATTACATGTTTTCATGAGTTCCAATGTCATGTATTAAGTATATAAAATTAGAGTTATGGCTGTTTTGTAATCAAATAAAATTTGCTAATATTTATACTAATTTAGAGATTATCTTAAAGGAAACAAATCTATATATGTTTTATTTTACAGATGCTCCTAAGTTTATATCAAACCAAACAATTTATTACTCTTGGGAAGGAAATCCAATCAATATAAGTTGTGATGTGAACTCAAATCCACCAGCATCAATCCATTGGCGGAAAGAGAAGTTAGTCTTACCAGCTAGAAATACCACTAATTTAAAGACGTATAGTGCAGGAAGAAAGATGATCTTAGAGGTAAGTCTTAATGTGAACATCAGTAACCTATGTTATTTTAGCATGTATCTATTATTTTAAATATATTTACATATATAATGACATCATCATTTGTATATTTCACATTTTTATTTATTAAAGGTAAATTTTATATATTTGGATAATGATGTGTTTATTATGACTATTTTAACATTTACTTGTATATAAATATGTTTATATTGCAAATACCTATTTTTCATGGATTTATTTTTGGAGAGAAAAACATTATTAGGAAAAATATCAGAAAAAATTAATAATTTGACAATTTTCAAGGGCAGGAGTTCAGCCTTAGTTTTTATGCTTTCACTTATTCTTTTCACTTATTCAGTAATTGTGCTCTTTTCTGACTAGTATATGTTTTATCTGATAGCTGTACATTTATAATTCTGATATAGGTTCCTGAATAATCCAAGTTTACTTATTTTATTTTATTTAATATTTCTGATTTGAGAGAACTCTTTTATAATGGCAGGTGACTGGATTTTAAGAACTGTTTGAATCATATTCTTTTTATTTAGTAATTGCAGATTTGTGTGTGTATATATTAATGCCCAATGCTTCTACAAGTCTATGACAATGATTATCATCCTTTCTAATTTGTTATGCTGCTGGAAAAATTGGTGATCTTGTTACAAACTTATTCAGATGAAAACTGATACATTTTCCACTAATTCAGTTTACATAAATTAAAAGCAATGCACCTTTTTAATGTACATTTTAATACCTGATATTCATGCTGTTGTAACTTATGGTGTTCTCATTGGTACCACAGTATCTCTTCTACCTGGTAGCTGGATTTAATAAAATGTTTGGTTGCTAGAATGATTTGACCATCACATCTTCTTATATTTGGAAAAGTAAACTGATAATAAATCTATTTGTATAAGCTAATTCAATTTAGATCAGTTTCTTTAAAATTGTATTAGAAGAACTAGCTTTTGGTGAATTGATGTGGATAGCAATTTCACAAAGACTTTTGAACAGGGTTTTTTTTTTTTAATTCTAAACAGGTTAAATTAACTTCAGTTTGGGGTAGTAGATTTGTTTTCTCCTCTGTCACAATATAATATCACAGACTAGATGACAAAGCAACAGAAATGCATTTTCTTGTATCTGGAAGCTGGAAGTCCAAGATCAATGTGCCGGCAGAAATTGTTTCTGGAGAGGACTCACTCTTTAACCTGTAGCTGGCTATTTTCCTGCCATGTCCTCACTTTGTCTTTCTTCCTCATATACACACAGAAAGAGGAAGGAAGACAGACAGGAAAAGAGAAATAGAGATCTTTCTGTTGCCTATTCCTCTTATCAGAATACCTGTCCTATTAGATTAAGCCCCAACCTTATGACCATATTAACCTAAATTACCTCCCCATAGTCTCTATATCCAAATATAGACACACTGGGAATTAGGGATTCAGTAGACATGAAGTTGAGGGGAGCACATGCACTCTGTAGGGGAGAGAGAGATCCCCTTTACTTGAATCCCTTAGTTCTTATGTGGGCTCTTTGGAAGACTCTCAGAACCCAATCCATACATGAGTAGATTAGCAAGAGATAAATGTAAAAGTTTCATTAATTTTACATGTATATGTGGATCTTCACAAACTTCTGAAGCATGGCACTACTTTTATAAATTTAGAGAAAGCACAATAGACTTTACTTCTGCACTTTTTCTTCACCACTTCACTTCACTCTCTCCACTCCTTCTCTCTGCTTGCAAAAATAATAATAATAATAATTTTGTGAAGGCGGCACGACAGTGGACTAGGTAATTAATTCTATCAATATAACTGAAGATATATGGAGAAATAAAAGCTATTGAAAGATAAAAAATACTTTAAAAAGTTTATATATTCAGGTTCATTTCCCAGTCTCTAGTGTTTAAGGCTATTTTCCATTTTTGATATTGAAGGTCATCTCTCCTCAAAAAATCTTTTTGACTTCCTGCATTTGCAAAAATACAGGTATATGGCTCTTCCTGAAGTTACAGTTCCTCAAGTGATTTCAGCTTGAAATAATCAATATACCAATTTTGCATATTTTGTGATAGTACCTCTTTAACTCTTTCAAGTCCACAGCAGATAGATTTAAGTTCATTCTTAATGACAGGCTGTTGTTAATTTCTGCTTTAGTCATTTTGACACATTGAGTTTCTGGAGGCACCTCATAAATTTCCATTGTTAAAGTCAAGAAATATTTTATAAATACAACATTTAATTATTTTATTTATGTAAATATGTAATGCTATTTAAAATTCTGTCTAAATGGTTTTTCTCCCCAGCACAAAGTGAAAAAAAAATGTAATTATTTTTTTTTTATATTCAGCCAGGCAGTTTTCAGTTAAAGCACTGGCTTTGAACAAACATTGATTTATGCGTATACTGTGTACACAAATTAAATGTAAATCTTGAATAAAAAAATACAGATGTGGAACTTTCACAATTTGAAAGCAAAACATAACAATAACCCAAAAGAAAGAGGAACAAAATACATCATTAATTTTTAGTTGTTAGCATACATAGTTGCTTGGGATAATACCTTTCATCATCTTTACTTTAAAATGATTACAGTAGCCATGTAAGTGCTGATTTTAAAAAATATATAATAAAATATAGAAAAATAAATCAATTTTAAACTTAATAATAATTGGTCAATAATAGATTTCTTGATTTTTTAACTTTTCCTTTTCTTCTAAAGTTGCATACACTTAACCTTTTAAATGGGTGAATTTTTACATATGACCATATGAGTCATTTGGGTTATTGCCAAAAAATACACCTGTAAAGGTTATACATTTTTTAAGTTTTTTTCTTTTTATGCAAACATATCCTGAGGTGCTCAACAGATTTTCGGCCAAAATCGATAGCAGGAAATTCTAATAAGTTGTTTGGAATAATATTCAGTTTTAGATCATCTGCATCATGTCCTCAGTAGAAGATTCTGACTATTTTATATAAGATTTTATCACCATACAACACATAGAAAGGATAAATCCGTTTGTACAGACTTAGGAAAAATAAGCCAACTCCCTATATTAATATTGAGTTATCAACGTTTATTTTGATATTCAAGAGTAATTTTTAACTGTATTAGGTCAAATACTAATAAATTAATTGTATTTGAACTGTATATTTTAAAAAATTAATTGTATTAATTAATTGTATTTGAACTATATATTTTTTAAAAATTTTAAAAAGTTTTATGAGTACATATTCTCAGTACTTTCTTAATAAATATTATCAGGACTTTGTACATTTTAAATATGTGAATATTTTTTACTTAGTGCTTTATAATACAGATATATGGATCATATTTTGATATTTTTTTAATATTTTAGAATGCTAAGTTTGCATATCAAAACACTGGACTTCAGTTTCATATTACATTCCTTAGAATACATCAAATATGTTCCAGGTTAAATCTAGAGCTATGCTTTGCTATGATGGGTATTTTCTATATTTGTTAACAGTACAATATGATAAAGGAATTACTTATTTAAGGTACTTGTAAAGCTTTTTGCCTGTTGGCAATTGAACTCCCTGGAGGGAAAAAAAAAAAGTGGACTGAGCCTTTTTAAGAATGGTTTCAATGTAAAAGTCTATATTTAAATTATTAATCTTAAGGAGCTATGCAGGTGGCACAATTCTTTGTTGTGGCCACCCTGCCTCTGCATTGTATTGATTCAATAAATAACATTCTGCTTTATGGAATATCCAAATCTTTTTCATATGACTGGAGAATATGAAAGACCGTAGAATTACTTTAGAGTTAAATTAGCCTGTTTTATTAAATGCTAGATATAAGAAAAATCCATATTTGAATCACTTAGAAGTACTTACGTAAGAGCTGTTAAAACTTCTGGGCCTTTAGCCTGATTTGTTCCTATATAGACAGCTGACTAGAAAATGAATGACACAGCTTTTTTGTACTTGCTCAGAATCATCATCTTCAATGGACCTCAAAATTGCTCTCTTAGTTAATAGCCTCCCATTACCACAAAATCATTTTTCTCTCTTTTGGGATAAAGTTGAAATAACAGCCTCTCTTATTGTAAGCATATTCTATCTTAAAAATAGTTACTGAAATTGAAAATTACATCTATTATCATCATCAAATCTCTTTCCTGAATTGATACTTCAGGATTTCTGTACATTAGAATTACAGGATTGGTCCCACTCTTCACCAGCAGAACCCCCAAAGGTTAACTTAATTATGGATTTCAAATGTGTAAAGATCGAGGTCAGCTATTTTCCACCTAAACTAAAAGAGAATGATAGGAATTGAATGGACAAGGAAGCAATATACTGTTATTAAATATGAAGAAAAAATGCCTGTCTACAGATATTTGCACAAGAATAATATTTTTTTTTTTTTGCAAAATACTTTCCTGGAAAGATTTTTTGAGAATGATTCCTCATCTAATGTCAGTATTTTTGTTCATAGACTCAAGAAACGAGAAAAAAAAATAGATATTTTTAGCCTTTTTTGGACTTTAAATTAGCCTGGTCTGAGGTTAAAACAGAAAGCAAAGTTAACACTGCTTTTGGTGCAGCTTCCTATTTTCAAATTCACACCCATAGTGGTTGCAACCTTTATTTTGGTCATTTTTTTTTATGTTTTATCTATAGGAAAGTTTAATGATTTTGCTATTGATAGATGTACCAAAACATTTATCCAGTTAATGAATTATTAGGTAAACCATGATTTACCTAGTCCTATGGATAATGCAGTTTTACAGATTACATTTAAAAGAATTAATAATATGTATTAATACTTGATTAAGAAAAGTGCAAGGAAGTGAATGATTGAACTTATGTGCAAGGGGTAAGCATACTAAAGTCTCTTTTAACTTCTTTGATGTTTCAGTATTGTATCTTTTACAATTTATTATTTTAGATTGCACCTACATCAGACAATGACTTTGGGAGATATAACTGCACAGCCACTAACCGTATAGGAACAAGATTTCAAGAATATATTCTAGCGTTAGCTGGTAAGTCTGGCGTAATAATTTTTTGAGATTTCACAAAATATGTCTCTAAGAAATGAAATTTTAAACTGATAAAATGGCATCATTTAATTCTACATGTCAACAAAAACGCCTTTCAATATTTTCTGTGTTGCTGCTCCCAAAGAACATAATTAGAATTCAATTTGAGGATATTTGTAACAAATTCAAATTGAGGAACCATCCACTACTGACTAACTAACCTTCAGAATACCTTACATGAAAAATAAGGACTGGTTAGAGAATTCTCAGAAGAAATGTTTGTAGAGACTTGACAAATACATGTCAGACAAGGTTCTAAACTATATCATTTTGCTTTAAAGAATGTTAAAGGTGTGATGAATAAATTTTGGTTATAGTCTATGGATAGATGACAGCTTAATAATTTTATGGATTTTATATACTGGTATGTTTTTGGTAGTAAATACTTACCTCTACTGATAAAACTAATCTACATCTTTTTTTGTGTGTGTATATAGACTGATATGTGACTTTACAGATGATAGTAATATATTATAAGGAATATTTTTATACTATATTATAATTTAGTCAAAGACAACAAATACTTTCCAATATGTGGAAATACATTTTATTCTAAAATATAACAATTCCTAGATGAAATCTTTTAATAAATATACTGACAGCACTTACTATAACAATGAAGAGATAATCCTTAATTCATATCAGTACAATTGTATTGTGGAAATTAGACATACAAACTTGGGCATCATATATTCATGAGCTCAATATTTCATGCCTCACTCCAGTTTGCCATTATCTGTATCAAGAGGAGCAACTTGATAAACTATAGTAAGATTGAAAGGCATTATCTACTAAATCGAATCATGCATAGTTGTCATCACAATTCTAATACCTTAAGGAAACACATGAGGTATTTATATCAGTCTAACAGAGAGAGAACACAGGTTCATACATTATGGAATAACTATATATAGTTTATTGTTATTACATCTAGTGTTATTAATACTGACTACATCAGGGAATTCCTTGAGCAGAATCAGGTTGAAGACACATCATTTTGTTATACCATTACTCACATGAGAACTTTTTTGTTTTCTTTCAATTTGTTTATTTTATTTTATTTTTGATGTTATTTTTAATTTTTTTTCCTAAGGCTATTTTATTTTTATTTTTAATTTTTTAATTAGAACTGATTAGTTATACATTACAGTAGGATGTATTTTGACATATCATACATAAATGAAGTGTAACTTCTCATTCTTCAGATTGTGCAACAGATAGAATTATACCAGTAGTGTAATCATATGGCACATAGGTTAATAATGTCCAATTCATTTTACTCTCCTCCCTTCCCTCATATTCCCTTTTCTCCCTTCAGTCCCCTCTCTTAATCAAAAGTATCTTTATTCTTTCTTCCCCCCCTCCACCTTATTGTGAATTATCATTCATATACCAGAGAAAACAATTGGCCTTTGGTTCTTTGGGATTGGCTTATTTCGCTTAGCATAATATTGTCCAGTTCCGTCCATTTACCTGCCATGCCATAATTTTATTCTTTAAGGCTGAGTAGTATCCTATTGAATATATATACCACATTTTGTTTAGCCATTCATTTGTTGAAGGTTATCTAGGTTGATTCCACAGTTTAGCTATTGTGAACATTGATGTGATGGTGTCACTGTAGTATGCTGATTTTAAGTCCTCTATATATATGCCAAGGAGTGGGATAACTGGGTCAAATGATGGTTCCATTCCAAGTTCTCGGAGGAATCTCTATGCTGCTTTCCCTAGTGGTTGCACTGATTTGCAGCATCTTTATCAATGTATGACACCTATACTCCTCAAATTGTTTTATGATATAGAAAAAGAAGGAACTCTTTCAAAATCATTCTATGAAATGAGTGTCACCCTGATAACAGACAAAGACACATCAAGGAAACAAAATTTAAGACCAATATCCCTAATGAACATAGATGCAAAAATTCTTAATAGAACACCAACAAATCACATAAAAAATTAAAAAGATAGTTCACTATGATCAAGTCGGGTTTTTCCCAAGGATGTAAGGTTGTTTCAACATACAGAAATCAATAAACATATTTCATCACATCAATAGGCTTAAAGACAAAAATCATAATGATCATTACAACAGATGCAGAAAAAGAATTTGCCAAAATTCAGCACCCCTTCATGCTCAAAACCGTAGAAAAACTATGAATAATAAGAACATACTTCATCATATAAAAGCTATATATGCTAAACCAAAGGCCAAAATCATTCTAAATGTAGAAAAAGTGAAAGTATTCCCTCTAAAACTGGAACAAGCACAGAGATTCCCTCTTTCACCACTTCTATTCAACATCATACTTGAAACTCTAGCCAGAGCAATTAAACAGAAGACAGAAATTAAAAGGATACAAATAGGAAAAGAAGAACTCAAATATCTCTATTCGATAATGACACGATTCTATATTTAGAAGATCCAAAAAGTTCCACTGGAGAAATTCTCAAACTAATAAATGGATTCAACAAGGTAGTAGGATATAAAAATCAACTGTTCTTTTATACATCAGTGATGAATCCACTGAAAAAGAAATTAGGAAAACCATCTTATTCACAATATACTCAAAAAAATATTTGGGAATTGATTTAACAAAAGAATTGAATAATCTCTACAATGAAAACTACAAAACACTGAAAAAAAATAAATAAATAGAAGAAGACCTTAGAGGATGGGATGATCTCCCATGCTCTTGGATGGGCAGAATTAATATTGTCAAAATGGCCATACTACTAAAATCATTTTACATATTTAATGCAGTCCACTTTAAAATCCTAATGACATTCTTCATAGAAATAGAAAAAGCAATCAGGAAATTCATTTCAAAAAATATGATACACAGAATAGCCAAAGCAATACTCAGCAGGAAAAGTAAAGCAGAAGGCATCACAATACCAGACCTTAAATTACACTACAGAGATATAGTAACAGAAATAGCATGGTATTGGCTCCAAAATAGACACATGCACTAGTAGTACAGAATGGAAGAAACAGAGACAAACCCACATAAACACAGTTGTCTCATATGAGACAAAGGCACCATAAACATACATTGGAGAAAAGATAGTCTCTTCAGAAATGGTGCTGGGAAAACTGGGAATCCATATGTAGTAGAATGAACTTATATCCCTATATCTCACCCTGCACAAAAGTCACCTCAAAGTGGATCAAGGACTAGGCATTAGTACAGAGACCCTATGCCCACTAGAAAGAAAAGTAGGCTCCAATCTCCAAAATGTCATTTTAGGAAAAATATTCCTCAATAAAACTCTTAAAGCACAAGAAGGAAAATAAATAATCAATAAAATGGATTGTGTCAAACTAAAAAAGCTCTTCACGGCAAAGGAATAAATAAAAAATGTGAACAGAGAGCCTACAGAATGGGTGAAAATCTTTGCCACCTGCACCTTGGATAGAGCATTAATCTCCAGGATATATACAGAACTCAAAAAACTTAGCTCAAAAAAAATCAATAAATGGCCAAAGCAATCAACCAGTCACATCACAAAAGAAGAAATACAAATGGTTAATAAATCTATGAAAAATGTTCAATATTAGCAATTGTAAAAATGAAAATTAAAGCTATATTGAGATTTCATTTAACTCCAGTCAGAATGGCAATTATCAAGAATCCAAGTAACAATTTTAAAACAATTAAAAATAAAAAAAAAACAAGTAACAATAATTGTTGGAGAAGATGTGAGGAAAATTGTATGCTCATACATTGCTGGTGGGACTGCAAATTGGTACAAACATTCTGGAAAGCAGTATGGAGGTTCCTGGGAAAACATGGAATAGTACCACCATTTGACCATGTTATCCCACTCGTTGGCATATATCTAAAAGACTTAAAATAAGCTTATTATAGTCACACAGCCACATCAATGTTCATAGCAGCTCAATTCATAATAACTAACCAGTGGAACCAGCCTGGGTGCCCAAAAAATTAATGGATAAAGAAAAAGTAGTATATATACATAATGGAATATTACTCACCCATAGAAAAGAATGAAAGTATGGCACTTGCTTGTAAATGGACAGAACTGGAGACTATCATGCTAAGTAAAATAAGCCAATCCCGAAAAATCAGTAGTCAAATGTTCTCTCTGATATGTGGATGCTGACTCATAATAGGGAAGAGGCGGGGACAAGGAGGAGTAGAGGACCACTGAATTGGGCAGAGGAGAATGAAGGGAAGGGAGCGGGTTTGGGGAATGGGAAAGACAGTAGAATGAATTGGGCATAACTTACATATGTTCTTATATGAATACACAACCTGTGTATCTCCATATCATGTACAACCACAAGAATGGGAAATTATACTCCATGTATGTATGATATGTCAAAATGCATTCTAGGATCATGTATATGAAAAAGAACAACAAAGGACAAATTAATGAAAAACATAAAAAAGAAAATATGTAATAAATTTATGTAAACTAAAACACCTCACTGGATTGTGAAATAGTAGAAAAAATTTTTACTTTTTCATCCTATTACTTTTACATTCTTGCAAATAATTCCAACAAACAATTATTGTTTTTCTCAAATGAATTTTTAAAAATAATCTCTCTCTCTCTCTCTCTCTCTCTCTCTCTATATATATATATATATATATATATATATATATATATATCCATACACACACACACACACACACACGCACACACACACTTGTATTAATATCAAAAAATCTTTAAACATTATCTATTAAACCCTGGATTTATATTCCTTGAGCAACAATTGATTCAGGCTCATTTAATTTTTGTCCTGTCAGTTGAAATTTTTAAAAAATTCTATGATTCTATGGAAAGATGATAATGTATACTTACTAATTTTTAACTTTTTAATCCAAATATTAAAATATAACAAGAAATACAGCAATACATATTCTAAAGATTTCCCCATGAAATGTTTCATAAACAGGTCTTCTAGGCCATAT